ACCGAGAGGGCAGCTGGTTTTGAGCTTAGTGCTGATGGAGATTCTCAAGTGGAAGTGTGATAGTGTCATTAAGGACTTTGTGGTTGGGTTGCCTAGGACAGCTAGGAATAGTGACTCTATCTGGTGATTGTTGATAGGTTGACTAAGTGTGCGCACTTTCTTCCTGTCAAGAGGTGGTCCTTGGAGAGGCTTGCACAGTTCTATATCAGAGAGATAGTACGATTACATGGAGTGCCTTCTAGTATTATTTCTGAAAGAGATCCAAGGTTTACTTCCAGGTTGACAGACTCTACATCAGGCTTTGGGGACGAGGTTGAGGTTGAGCTCTGCTTATCATCCATAGATAGATGGTCAGTCGGAGAGGACAATTCAGTCACTGGAGGATCTCTTAAGAGCTTGTGTGTTGGATCATCTGAGTAGCTGGGAGGAGGTGTTACCATTGGTAGAGTTTACCTACAACAACAATTATCACTCGAGTATTGGCATGGTGCCCTTTGAGGCTTTGTATGGCACGGGGTGTAGGACTCCATTATGTTGGTATCAGGAGGGTGAGTCAGTAGTGGTTGGTCCAGAGTTAGTTCTTCAGGCTACTGAGATGGTGAGATAGATTTAAGAAAGGTTGAGGGCTACCTAGAGTCGATAAAAGTCCTATGCTGATAGGAGGAGAAGACCTCTAGAATTTGAAGAGGGAGAGCATGTGTTTCACGTTTCACAGTTGAGGAAGTACATAAGAGACTCGAGTCAAGTGGTAGAGATGGATGAGGTGCGAGTTAGAGAGAAGTTGACCTATTAGAAGAGACTGGTATTTGTGGTTGATCACAAGTTGAAGGAGCTTCGTGGCAAGTCCATCAGCTTGGTGAAGATTCTTTGGGATACAGCTACTAGTGAGGCTACCTGGGAGGTGGAGAGTCAGTTCAAGGAACAATATCCATTCCTCTTTTCATGTAAGCCCATTTTCAGGGACAAAAATTCCTATTTGTTGGGGGTATTTTAACGTAGTAAGTTATTTAAGACGGCCCAAAAGCCCAATATGGGTGATTTAGTAGCCCAGAACGGGTCGTTCCCAATCTGGAACGGGCCGTTCCAAACTACTAAATTGACCTGTAAATCATAGTTAAGAACGGGCTGTTCTAGATGGAGTACGGGCCGTTCTGGATGGAGAACAGACCGTTCTAGATGAGTCCCAGAATGGGCCGTTCTGATTTCAGAACTGGCCGTTCTGCATGTGATTCTTGCACATGATGAAAGGGTGTAGAACGGGCCATTCCGGATTCGGAACAGGCCATTCTGGTCACTCCTAAACTTCTATAAATAGGGGTTGTGTGGTTGAGGAGAAAGTGAAGTTTTTAGAGAGAAGTTTTAGAGAGAAGGACTCTAGGTCTGTGAGCTCCTTGCTTTCCCAAATTTCTCTGTATGATTCCTTTTCTCCTTTAGATCACTAATGCCTTCTGTCTTTTCTTGAAATTCAGATTAAGAAGCTTGCTTTGGGAGGATTGAAGTTTCGGGTTAAGCTTCGGAAGAGAATTCTACTTTTTCTCAGTTATTGGCTATTTTGAGCCAATCTTCAGGTGAGGAAAGCTAGAATGTTTGTTGTTTAAGTTGCATGTGAGTTTAGAAACTCAATTGGTACATGAAAGTTGAGGATCCATGGCTGGATCGGAGAATTCGCTCATTTTTCAGGGTTTTGGGAAAAATGGGGTTTTTGGTGAATTTGATGCATCAAATGGGCGCATGTTGATTTTGAGTTTGTTTTATGTTGTATGGAGCCTATGCATTGTGTTTTTTTGTGTTTGCATATGGTTGGATTTGTTAGTTTGGATGAGAGCTTAGGGCTCTCGGGTTGGATGTTGGGCCAGGCATGATTTGGTTGCGTCAAGCGTGGAGAGTCTTAGTAGTCTCAGTCTCAACGACACCGAGCGTGAGTTAAATGTACCAGGCGTGGATGAGTTTTAGAACTTTCAGGTTGGGATTAGGTTGGGTGAGCTCAGGCTGGGCTAGGAATGAATATGTTTATGAATGAAATGATGCTAATGCATGTTAAGTTGAAGTTTTGGATCATGTATGTATGATATATGATGTATGGTGAGGTGTGATTCATATGTATGCATACTGATGATATATATGAATGTTTAAATATGATATGGCATGATTATATGTTCATATGTGTATGATTATTGATCATAATGGTGGGTAGACCATGTATGATGTATGATGTATGATGCATTATTGCATGTGATGTCTTATGACATGTGTATGATTGTTGATCAAGATGGTGGGCAGACCATGTTGATGTATGATGCATAATTGCATGTGATGCCTTATGGCATGAGTCTAGCCTAGGACTTGAGGAGAGGAAAAATGTTTTCGAATTGGAAGAGCTCACATAAAGTCTCTTGAGAGTGGTGCTTGGATAGGCCACTGATATATGAGAGTGGTGCTCAGGTAGGCCACTGAATTTGGGAGAGTGGTGCTCAGGTAGGCCACTGGGTTGGGTGAGTCTCCTCTAAGTCCTTAGCTAGTGTTGGAGCGGGGTATGAGGTCGAAGGTTATTGCCTTAACCAAGTGCTCAGGAAGGTGCGTGGATCCTTGTGGATAGTCGGTGGGCGAACTCCACAAATGACTTGGTTATGCATGCCAAGGTCGTGGTAAGCCCGTACCCAACTGTTCTATACTTGACGGTGGATCTGGACTTCCAATTGTGTAAGTGACATCATCCGAGTAAACCTGAGTGAGGATTATATCCTGTTTAGCTGTGATCGAGCGGGCGCATTGGGCGTGAAAACGGTTGGGGTAGTTTCGGTAGGACGGAATGTCACTTATACAGCTCTATTGTTAGGGAGATCTCTTACGTGTATGTGTGACGACGCATTAGATGATTAATATGCATTGATATTTGTCATGAGATGCATTTATTGCATGATTATTACTATGATTAAGTGTGGTGTTTGACTTCATGATTGGTGGATTGTATTTTACGAATGAGTAGTATTGGATAGAGTGTATGGTGTGACTCTATGAACATGATTGATAGTTGTATGATGTGTGGTATAGATTTTATTTTGTACTTGTATGATTGGTTTTGAACTCTAGCTTACCCTTCTGTTTCCATGTGGTGGGACTGCGATCATCATACTTGGTATGGGAGTAGGTCAGGGATAGCTTGGAGTTGAGGTGACCGTTGCGAGACGGGGAGATTGATCCTCGTGTTAGAGTTACCATTTTGGGTAACGGTTTTGTCTGTGCTTGACCGGCACTAGGGAAAATTAATTTTGGGATGACTGTACATATATGGAGTTCTATTTTGTATTTAAGAAACTTAGTTATTTTTTTTTCTTTCTTATCTATACCTGTATCTATGAGTTATCCAACTTAATATTTCTCTTAGTTCACTAGTAGTAGTGCGATTCCACTAAGTGTAGAGACCATGGCGGGTTGTTACAGTCGTGACTTGGGTGGTCTATAAAACTCACTGCGAGCCTAAAGAGGCTGAACAAATAATACTTGTATTTCGTTAAATATCTAGTGGAACCCTTCGTTTGAAGGAGACTGGACGTAACTCAATTTGAGCGAACCAGTATAAAATATTTGCACTATTTTAACGTTTCAGACGCACTTTATTTGATTGATTTAATATATTGAGAACTTCATCTAACGCTTATCGTCTATTAAAACTATCTTCAGACGAGAACCATACTTGTTCAACTAATTATCCTAAAAGAACGGTTTCTCTGAGCAGACGATGAAACTCCCAGACGAAAAATGATTTTGTTAAACCAATCCTGGGTAGTTTCTATTTAGCATTCACTAATATTATTTTACTAGACAAAAGAGAGCCTTATTGCGAAAATGTTTTTAAAATTCCTTTGTTCACACATACATATTTATCCCCCCTTCTATGTGTTTTTCACTAAACTTCAACTTAGACAATAAAACTTACATGCTACCTGTACCGTCCCGGGTATAGACCGATCTGACTCTGGCATGGAGGGACTCAGTGTTAGTCGATTTGGAACCTTAGTTGGGAAAACTCGGTAATATTCCGATCCCACTTTCCCTGGTAGGGTTTTGACTCGATTAGATGCCGATCTCGGCCCCTGTAGGGGGAGGTTCGACCGACATCCTACGTAGCAGTTCCCACGAGTGTTATCTCAGCTATAACCCGAGTCGACCCCTCTCTAAGGTTTCACTCGGTCAATATCTGACCTGGTTTCTCTGCATAAATCAGGTCAATCATAAAACGATCCTACTCATCTAGAGAGATCCTACTCGGCCAGGACCCGACTGGCCCCCCTATAGGGGTCTATTCGGTAAGGGGGCGATCCGGCCTCCCCATATAGAAGCTATCCGATGGCAAGGGAAAAATCCCACCTTTATTTACCTAATATTTTCCAGTTAAGGAAATCCCCACATTCTTAGGGTCCATGAGGCCCATTAACAAGAAACTATAAAACCGAAAACCATAGGGTTTGGGAGGACACATTACACACTTGAATGCTCTGGCTTGGGAAGGTTGACCTACGAGAAGACTCCTAGACGCCCCCTTGGGCGGAACATTTTGGCGCCCACCGTGGGGCTATGGTGAAACTTTTCCTTCGCCCCAAGCAATACAGAAGGGCCCACACTTTACTATGGCGAGAGGCGGAACTTCAAACAACAACTCACAACACCCTACCATGGAGGAGATGATGGCATTGATCAATGGCCTGAGTGAGGAGAATGTGCAATCTAGGGAGAGAGAGGAGGCTATTCAACGAGAAAACGAGGAGATCAGGAGACGAGCGGATGAGATGTAGGCTATGATAACGGCCAACACCAGGATGGCAGAGGAAGATGTCATGATGGAAGTCCCTAGGGATTACTGACCTTTCTCGGAAGCCATAGAGGCCGAGACCATCCCGAGGGATCATCGGGTCCCCCAACTTGAACCTTTTGACGGAACTCAGGATCTGAGTCAGCATTTGACGAATTTCTGAGCTCAAATGCTGATTTATGGAGGGAGTATGGAAATCTGCTACAAGCTATTCATGGGCACGCTCAAAAAGGCAGCCCTTAATTGGTTTAGTGGTCTCCCTGACCGATCAATCACTGACTTTGATGTCTTTAGTCGGCTCTTCATGGCGCAGTTTGCAGCTAACAAGAAGAAACTACCGATCACGTCGGACTTGTTTGATCTCAAACAGCAACACGAGGAGTCGTTGAAGGACTTTCTACAAAGGTTCAATGAGGTCACCTTGAGGATAGCATCTTTGGATGAAAGGATGACGGTCATCGCATTCCAGAATGGCCTAAGATCTAGAGCTTTCAACATTGCGCTGGAGAAAGCGAATTGTCAAACAATGTCAGAGGTGAGAGCTTTCACCCTGAGTCACATCAAGACGGAGGAAGGACAAATCAATAAGAGGGCGGCTGAAAGCCGAGAAGCAGGGGGCAACAACAAGGAGGACAATAAGCATCTCCGGGTATGCTCGGATTGGAGTAAACGACGTGACCACTACAATTCAAAGGAAGGAAATCGCAAGCAGGCAGACTATGGTGGTCGGACAAGGGGCGAGTGGACACGAAACAACGAGCAGGAAAAGTTCACCCCACTCAATGTCCCTAGGAGGCAAATACTCCATGACGTCAACAATCCATCACTCTTTGAGTTCCTGGCAGCGACTGATCGCCAGTTGGGTCCTTTCAAGATCGATTGGTGCGAGTTTCATAGGACACATGGGCACACTACCCATAACTATTTTGTTCTCAAGAGGCAAATTGAACGTCTTATCAAGGAGAGACGTTTGAAGAAGTTCGTGGCAGGAAAGCAAGACGAAGGCTCATTCGACAGAAGACGTAGACGTAAAGAAGAGGACATAAAAGGAGGTAGGCATAAAGGAGTGTCTCCCCCCAGTGCCCGTCCGGGGAAAAGCTCGGAGACCCACCAACAGGCTGTCCATGGAGATTTTAACACCATAGCGGGGGATTTCGCTGGAGGAGGCCTGATGTCGGTGGTCTAGAAGAGATATTCCTGATCGGTGTTATCTGTCTCGGAGTGGGCGTGACCAAATCGGCCAGCCATCACGTTCTCGGACGCTGACTACGAAGGGGTGTCTCCCCTTGAGGACGACCCTATAGTCATTTTCGCGATCGTCATGGGATATAATGTGAAACGCGTGTTGGTAGATCAGGGAAGCTCGGCAGACATCATGTTCTGGGAGGCTTTCGTCAGGATGAAAATTCTGACTGATCGCCTTATGCCATATGCAGGAACTTTGGTAGGTTTTGTAGGTGACCAGGTGACGGCCAGGGGGTACGCCGACCTAGAAACCACCTTTGGGCAAGGCAACCATATGAAGACTGTCACTATCTGATACTTGGTTGTAAACGCCCAATCATCCTACAACAGTCTAGTCGGACGACCCACATTGAATAAATTGGGTGCCGTAGTTTCAACGCCCCACTTGAAGTTGAAGTATCCCTTGCCCAGTGGAAAGGTCGGAGTCCTCAGCATGGACCAAGAAGTCGTGAGGAAATATTGCGAGGACAGCCTGAGGGCGAGAAGACACCTATATGTGACACAGGTTGATCGGGGAGTCCAATCCATTGAGTTAGATCCGAGGATGACTCACTTCGATTCCCGACCAGCCCCGGCAGAGTACGTGAAGGAAGTTAGCTTGGCTGAAGGAAAAATAGTCAAGATCGGTGTGTCTTTGGCTAAAGAAGATGAAGAGGGGTTGGTGACCGTGTTGAAAAACAACATATCAGCCTTTGCGTGGAGTGCTCGTGACATGCCAGGTATTGATCCGGATTTCCTATGTCACCACCTCATGGTTGATCCTAAGGTGAAGCCTGTGATTCAAAAAAGGCAAAAATTCAGAGAGGACAAAAGGAGAGCTATAGCTGAGGAGACGAGGAAGTTGATGGCAGCTGGCCACATTCGGGAAATCCAATACCCGACGTGGCTAGCAAACGTGGTAATGGTATGAAAAACCAACGGAAATTCGAGAATGTGCACAGACTTCACTGACCTAAATAAAGCTTGTCCGAAAGACTCGTATCCGCTGCCCAACATAGATTGCCTAGTCGACAATGCGTCGGGATATGAGTTGCTAAGCTTTATGGATGGATACTCGGGTTACAACCAGATCAGGATGCATCCCGGTGATGAGGACAAAACGACGTTCATAGCCGATCAGGCCACCTACTGTTACAAGGTCATGCCTTTTGGGTTGAAGAACGCGCGAGTGACGTACCAGAGGCTTATGGACAAGGTTTTGGCAGATCATTTAGGTAGAAATGTGGAGGCATACATGGATGACATGGTGGTAAAATTGGCTAGTGTTGCTTGGCATTTCTTTGACCTGCAAGAATCATTCGACACTCTGGCACGATACCAGCTCAAGTTAAATCCTGCAAAGTGCTCTTTCAGCGTCCAAGCAGGTAAGTTTCTCGATTTCTTATTGACTCATCGTGGTATTGAAGCAAACCTTGATAAGTGGTCCGCGATAATAAATATGAGAAGCCTGGTGACAGTAAAGGAGGTCCAACAGTTGGCGGGAAGGATGGCTTCCCTTTCTCATTTTCTTTCGAAAGTGGCATATAAATCATTACCCTTATTCCAATGTTTAAGGAAGAATGATCGCTTTTCATGGACAAACGAGTGTGAAAGGGCATTTGGCGAACTCAAGAAGTCTCTCACCTCACCGCCGATCCTCACCAAGCGCAAACTAATTCCCCCTTGTTGGTGTACCTGTCGACGTTGGATAGTGCCGTCAGCGCGGTTTTGGTTCAAGAGAAAGGTAACTCTCAAATGCCTGTTTATTTTGTCAACAGGATGTTGCAAGGAGCAAAGGTTCGCTACCAGAAGATCGAGAAGTTAGCATTCACCATATTGGTAACAACGAGAAAGCTTAGGCTCTATTTTCGTAGGATGGAATGTCACTTATACAACTCTATTGTAGGAAGATCTCCTTGGTGTAGGCATGACGACACATTAGATGATTGATATGCATTGATATCTGTCATGAGATGCATTTATTGCATGATTATTAATATGATGAAGTGTGGTGTTTGACTTCAAAACCTTCTACGATTTTCTTCACCGCCTCTATCTTGGTGGCTTGGAGATTGGCTTCTAGCTTTTCATTTTCAGTCTTCAGCGACGAGATTTCATTTTCAAAAACATTAGCAGCATCAGCGCTCTTGTCACGAGCCAAGCGAGCCTCGTCAAGATCCTTCTCCAAGGTCGCCTTCTCGGTGGCCCAAGCCTTCCTCTCTTCATCAAAGGCATGCCGACCCACCAGAAGCTTATCCCGCTCACCGGTCACCCATTTTAGGTCGTCCTTGCTTTTGTTTAAGATTTCTTCAAGAGAATTAATTTTCTTACCTTGAACCTTGGTCTCCCTCACCAATTTGCGGAGTTTGTCTTCATTGATGAGGGAAAGAACGGAGAGGCGATTGGTCAAGGACTCGACCCCTTTGGCGATGGAGAAGGCATTCATCTTCTCTAGATCATCCTTGTCGCCATCAAGAAAATCAGTTTGGCGAATGTGAGATGAGTGGTTAAACTTGTCATCCCAAAATGAGCTAACTTTACCTCGCTCCGTTCCACGGTCCACGGGATCCCAATTCTCACCCATACACAAACTCAGAGTCGTCTCAGCGGATTGGACTTCTATGTCTTTCTCGGCAACCCCATCACCGATTTCGGTCTCCAGATTTAAAAGGGGAATGACCATCTCGGCCTCGCAGCGACACTTGTGGGAACTTTCCCCTAACACGCCTGGTCGGGATAAGGGACAAGTATTCCTCGTCTTTTCCCCGATCACTTCAGTGGCGATAGCCTTAGCAACTTCTTGTTGTTTCCATAACTTCATCAGTTCTCGATTGCTCATGCTAGCTATATTTTTGCAACGGCGAGAAACATAATATTAGTCAACAAAGAAAAATGAAGATGGAAAGTTAAAAGGGAGGCGATCAGTCAAAAACCGAATACCTATATAAATTTTCAATTCCTTGGGCCTAGTTTCTAAGTCTAGAAGTTTCGCGGTGTTGAAAACTGTTTTGAGGTCCTCAAGTTTTTTTACGTCTTCCTAGTCCGTCTTAGAGAGCTTCTCGGTATGTAGCCCTCCAAAGGATATCGTCTTTTGTTTCCAGTATAAAGGGAATCCCTCTAGCACATGTTCATGGCCTGGGGAGCAACATATTCAGAAATATGATTTTTTAAAGTCCTTATAGGACGATTGAACAAAGTCAAAAGTCCTCGACCAGTCACCCCATGAATAGACACCCAATTACTACGTTTACTGGTGCGACTCTCGAAGAAGTAAAAGAACTTATCTACGATCGGGTTTATGCCTAAGCCTACACATAGGATCTCAAATCCTCAGACAAAAGCCCAACTATTAGGATGAAACTGGGTAGGGGCAACACCTAAGGCTTGAAGCACTCCTTTCTCACAAACAGTAAGGGGCCATCTCGCCTTCAATCTGGAGATTAGAGTGCAATAACAAAAAGTAAACCTCTCGGGGGAAGCCCCCTCAATACATATAGGTTCTTTATCTACACAAGGCTCACAAATAATTACATGGTCGCCCTCACCACACACTACGTGCTCTCTACAAAAACTCTCCATAGCATCCCAAGAATTTATTAAAGATTCGCAACGCAAAACATCATCTTTTACCCATTTGTACATTTCCCCATAGTTTACGAGCGCCATTGCGAGAATAAACCTAACTTAAATAACAACTTAGGCTTCGTTGCAAACAAAAATGGCCAAATGGTTCAGATGGGCATACCTAAGGACACACAACAACTTCCCACTCAAATAAACTCCAAAAGCACCGTCATAGGCCGTCGCGAACCACCGGAGAATCCCAACGAGTTTCAAGGAACCACGGAGGAGAACAAGCGCACAAAGGAAGGAGGGAAAAGAGAGAAAAAAAAATGGCAAGAGCTCGCGAGAGGTTCATATTTATAAGGGCAAAGAAGCGTATATGAGAAGCCATGGGTGAAACGCGGCGTTTCATGTGAAGTGCAGCACCCAAAACATCCCTTCACACGTGGAACGATGCGACTCCTAATTGAAGGGGCCAAGCATTAAATAAAGCCAATTGTCATTACCACAAGGTGTCGTAATTAATTAATCCCCTACAAAAAATAGCTATGTAATAAATGCACACCCCTCATGCCAGCATTTGAAGGGTTGCGGATCGGAATATCACAAGACAACATAACCAATCGCTGACCAGTAGAAATACCTAGCCACGCTTGTGGATACCCAAGGGTGCATGGGTAAATGGCCGACATTCTTAGCGCAAATCGGAAAATCCCCATGAAGAGAAACTGCACAAGCCCTTTCGCCTAATAGGCTTAGGGATGGAAGGCCAGTGTACCGTCCCGGGTGAAAGTTGAACTGGATCCAATGCGAGGACACCCGGTCAAGTGTCTAGACTTGGCAATACTTTGATTCACTCCCTTGCCAAGGTTTTGACCTGAGGTGGGCACTAGTTAAGCCCCTTCGCCTAATAGGCTCGGGGCTAGAAGGCAAGTATACCATCCCAGGTATAGACCGATCTGACTCTGTCATGGAGGGACTCAGTGTTAGTCGATTTGGCACCCTAGTTGGGAAAGCTCGGTAATATTCCGATCCCACTTTCCCCGGTAGGGTTTTGACTCAGTCAGATGCCGATCTCGGCCCCTGTAAGGGGAGGTTCGGCCAGCATCCTACGTAGCATTACCCACGAGTGTTATCTCAGCTATAACCTGAGTCGACCCCGCTCTAAGGTTTCACTCGGTCAATATCTGACCTGGTTTCTCTACATAAGTCAAGTCGGTCATAAATCGATCCCAATCATCTAGAGAGATCCTACTCGGCTAGGACCCGACTGGCCCTCCTATATGGGTCTAGTCGGTAAGGGGGCGATTCAGCCTCCCTATATAGAAGTTATCCGATGGCAAGGAAAAAATCCCACCTTCATTTACCAAATATTTTCCAGTTAAGGAAATCCCCACA